CTATAAAGTATTTTTCTTTTAATAATTTTCTTTTTTAACAAAAAAAAAAATTAATAAACATTTATTTTCCTTTTTTTTATTTTTTATTTCTCATTTTTCTTAATTCATAGAACTTCTGTGTTTTTTATTTCTTGAAATTTAATGGATGTCTCACCAAGTGATGTTTGTACATTGAAATATAGTTATATTATTAATGATACTTAGTCATAGAATTATGTAAAATATATTGAAACAGCAAGTCCTGAATTAATCACAAAAATAAAAAAAGCAGAACACCTTCAATTAATGGTTGATGAGGATGAGTTAGAAAATGAAATAAGGAATTGGAAAGCTTTTGTTCGGTTTATGGAAGAAAACCAAAAAATTCTTCAACAAATTGGTCCTAAAATCAATATAATACCTGGGTTTTGGTATACTGTTCTTCATAATGCTGGACTCTTTGATTATTATGCAACAAATCCAACCGATGTAAAAATACTACAATTCTTATATTCAATTTCTTGTCATTCATTTTCTTACCAAATTGTCCCTTATCCAGGTTCAACAAATAAAAAAACCCTCAGGGTAAGTTTTGTCCTTTCGTTTACTTTTAAACAAAATCCTTACCTTCTCTATAATACATTAACTAAGAAAGTTACGTATTTAGAAAGACACTTAAATGGGCCACCAACCATCGTTAAGTTTGTTTATTTATTCTTCTAATTTTTGTCATATTGATTTATTAGCTCTGGTGTCTTTTTTAATGAAGGACAAGATCCACATAAAATCAATGGAGTTATTGTTGGGTCTTTCTTTGATTATTTTGTTCCATACAACTTAAAAGATTTTTATGAGGATGCGACAGAAGAAGAAACAATCAATAATATGCTTGAAAAAGATTTTACTGTTACAGAAACTTTGATCAGAACAATATTAAATAACTGCATTGAGTGTTATCAAAATAAAAGAGAGATTATTTTTGATTGATTAAATCTTCATTTTATGACTTTTCGTTTAGCTATTTCATAATTTAGTTGTTCAATCTTTAAAAGTCTTTTCATTTCAGTTTTCTTTAATAAAGAAAAACATTTAAACAACCCTTCTCATCTTAAAATTTATAAAATGAACTTTATTTTTGAGGCACTTCTTCTTGTTGTGGCATTTGCTTCTTGTGATAATTGTGAGTTATGTCAAGACGGGAAATGTACTAATTGTAAAAGTGGATTTATGATGTTAGGAGATAATTGTGTTGATGGAAATACTGTTCTAGACTATTGTGAAGAATTTAATACTGACAAATTTGGATGTAAAAAATGTGCTAGAGGTTATTCTCCTACTCTTCATGGACTTTGTTTAAGTTTGTCTCATACAATATATATAATATTATACAAAGTACTCAAATATTAATAGAATGTGAGCACTTGTTTGGTCCAGATTGTCTTGACTGTGATCAGACTAGATCAGATAAATGTACACAATGCAGAAATGGAGCTATCGTTACTAGGGAAGGGGCTTGCATTTGTTTGTTTATTTATTTTTTATTATTGAATAAAATTTGAAAAAAGTGATATTTAGAAATAGATTGCAGAAAATATTTTAGGCAATGTGCTGAATGTGATGGAATGACAATGAGGTGTACTAAATGTTCAAATGGAAGAAAACCAGATAATGGCTTCTGTTAAAGGACGGAAAATAATAATTAAAAAGAGTTGAATTCACAAAATGATTCAAAGTTTCATTTAATACCATTGTAAAGCAAAGAAACAACGAATAGAGAATTTGTTAGGATTTACTTTACCCGTAAGAGTTGTACTTTCAAAAGGATGAGAAGAAGCAAAGTTACTTGAAAAAGAACTATCAATAAATGATTGATCATTAAGAGCAATAGTAAAAGCATTTTTCACTGAAAGGATGACATTTTTTGTAGGAGAGATTTGAATAAGAGAATCACTTGGAGACAGTGGTGTGAATTTAATGGGTAAAGGGCCTTGAGAACCTTTCAATGAGAAAAGAGTAAATTGTGTTGAACAAGACTCAGAAATAGATGGAGCGAATATACCAAATAAATTACCAGCAGTATCAAGGATCAAAATCATACAATTTGATATCGACGAAAGTAATGAAGAAATTGTTTCACAAGATAACTCATCAATGTCACTTGAATAAATTAAATGATAATCATTACATTTTGTCCATTTCATTAATGTCAATTGAATAGGACGTAATTTTTCTTTCAAACCCTCTTCAGCAAATTCATGTAATTCATCCCTATATTCTTCCATCGCCTCTTTTCGAGCATTTGCTATCATGGATTCATTACTTCTTTTTTCTTCTTCTTCACGCCTCAACCTTTCTTCTTCTTCTTTCTTTTTCTTTTCAAGATTTGTTATTGTCAAAACAACAGCAGCAGGTTTTTCTTCAATCTTTTTTTTTGTTAAGTACTCTTCTTCTAAAGTAATATCAAACTTAATGTTTTTATTTGTGGTGGCATCACAAAAGTCATCTAAATTAATACTAAATTTACCAAGGAAATCATCATCCCCAATTCTGTCCCAATCAAAACATAATATTTCTAGTGGTTGATGGTCTGAAACTACAGTAAATGTTTCTTCCCATTTAGGTTCGCTCGTGTTATTGTCATGTGTTGTTTTATACTCTTTCCCATTATTAGTAAATACACAAAATGGATCACACCATCCAATAGGATCTGCTTTAGGCCAATTCATCCCTTTAACAAAAGTAATTTCAAACATATTCATCACTTAAAACTAATAAATTAAAATTTAAGTTCTCCTTTATAAGATCTAATACAATCAAAATTTAAATCATTACAGAAGTCTAATTGAAAGAAGTTATTTTTAATAGCTGATATATTGTTAAGCGTTTTCAATATGAGCATTGTTCATACATTAAATTATAAGTACACAGTGTAAAAATATAAAATTATTTTTTTGTTTTCTATAACGTCATTCTTTTTATTGAAAAGAAATTTAAAATACCGTTGTTTCATAATAAACAAAATCTTAATCAATTTTTGTTAATAGATTATTGTTTTCTTTTATAACAGAGATATATTTTTATTGCTTAATGAATAGACAAAATTAAAAAAGGTTTTAATTTCATTTAAACATTTTTTTCTATACCTAATTTATTTTCTTATTGATAGTTGGTCATGTATTTATTTTTTAGTGTGTATTAGTTACATCATTTAATATATGATTTAGAACAACTAGATTTTAAATAATAAATGAAACACATTAAAATATATATTAGACTTTATAAATAGAATTTACTTATATTCATAAAAATTTAATTTCAAATAAATGATTCAAATAATACTTATTTTATTTTTTTTTCTCTAACAATGTGTTGTAATATTTAATACTTTTGAATTGTAGTGTTTTGATTGTAACCAAAATGGTTATAAATATGTGTTTTGAATAATAAATAAAAATAACTTATCTTAACCAAAAAATATGTTTAATTTTTGAAATAATTATGAATAAGAATTAATGTATATGACAATTAACAAATATAGAATATTTACAATAAAATTCATTGTTAAATACAAGTTATTATTTTGATATTTATATTTAAATATATATTATACTTTTTTATTAACAGAAAAGTTAACTATTTTATTAAGCAATTTATTTATTTCACTTTTTATTTATTTAAGTAATCATTGTATTTGCACAAAATTAAAAAGAATAAATTATTAAAAATGTAAGCCATTTTATTTTCTGAACTTTTTTAATCTTAGAATTGTTTTAATTACGATTTTCATATATTATCCAACATATTTATTTTCTTATAACAACTATTCAATATTTAACAGTGCTTAATTTTTATTTGTTATGTTTTCTTTTTTTATTTAGTATGATTCTTGTTCACTTGAATTAGATCTTATAATATTTTAAATTTTTTGTGTTAAATATCCAAGTTAATTGATTTTTTTACTATTAGTATTTTATTGATTATAAATATTAAATAATCTTGATTTTAATTACTTTGTTTTTATTAGTCAAATTATTTATTAATTCTTGTGTTAATGAATTGTTACCATGATATTATTTTATCAGTTTTTTAAATACTAAAAATTTTAATTCCAATAAGTATTATTTACAATGTTTATAAATAATATATAAATATATAATTGAGTTTTTAAAGTTTGTTCTTAGTTAAACCTTTCAATAAATTTAAATGATCTGAATTTCATTTTTTTATTATATACTGTTTACATATTAAATTATTGTTAGAATATTAAAAATACAAACGAAATTTATGTAAATAATACATTATCTTTTATTTCTTTTTCTAATAATAAATGGTTATATTTATATATTCTATGTATATTTAATGAAATAGAAAAAATTATGAAAATATATATTAAATTAATATTATACTTTACAAAAATAAATTCATAGACTTAACAATGAAAAAATGATCTAACTATTATCTATTATTTTAGAATGAAGTTATGAAATAATAACTTAATTGTTCAATAGTCTGCTTAATTAAATAAAGTTCATATTTAATAAAATGTTCTTGCTAAATTTGAATTGTTAATCAAGTTTATAAAAAAATAAATAAAAATACTAGATAAGAAGAGTACTAACTAATACACTTAATTTTTGTAAATACTCATTTTCTTTTTAACTGATCTATTTTTGATTTATCAATACGAAGTATAAATTAAATTATTTTTATTATGTAATTTTTTATTGTACTAATATTAAATCAATGTACTTTTATCATTTTTAGTTATTTTGTTAAGTTTTATTATAGCGATTCATTTTAAAATGTTTCATAATCATTTAATTTATCATATAATTCTTTCATAAATTGTCTCTGAGTGTTTTTTTTTTCTACCCAAACTCTAATTAACATTATTTTCAATAATAAACACCTTATGTTGTGACTTATCTTTTGTATTCGCTTTTGAGTCATTAATGTTTTACTATTTTTCTGGACCTAATACATCTTTGGTCATTTATAAAATTTTATAATATAACTTTTATAGATACTGGTTGCTTTTTTAATTCAATGAACCAAAACTTCTTTCTTATTAAATTAACTTATTCTATTTCATTCTTGTTTAATTTTTTTAGGGATTTTGTTTTTGTATTTACTTTTTTATTAACAACTTAACTTTTCTATCATTTTTTAAAACTCTACCATTTGTTTAATTTCATCGTCTATACTGGTTGTCAGTTTTAGTTATTTCTGTCCTAGATTTAAATCGCAGATTGATTAATTTGATAGTTTGTCTTTTTTTTTATAGCTAATCCATAATTTTTTATAGAATTTTATTTTTTTTTTGATTGTTCTTTTTTAGGTTTTAGTATTTTTATTATAATTCTTGAGAATGTATTCAGAAATTGATGATACTGTTTACCAACTCTATTGAAAGTCCTTGTAATGAAGAACGAATTGCTATGGTGAAATGAATAGAATGATAATAAAAAGAAAAGAAGAGTAGTTCAAAATGGTTAAATTATGTAAATGAATAATGAATTACCAAATTATTGAATTAAAAAGAAATAATATAATGATAATAAGATGATAATAAATAAATGAAAGAATGAACAATAAGTATATGAAGTTAATCTAACAAATAAATGATACAAATACAAATAATAATCAAATAACTGTCATTGTTCATAATTAAATTATATGTTTATTATTTATTAATGAACCATATAACAGTTATTAAAATTAAATACTTTTAAATATACAAATAATATATAAAATTAAAGACAAAAGACAAAAGATAAAACAAATAAAAGAAATAACAAATACAAAGAAACACCCCACAAATCACAATAAAAGATAAATCAAAAGAATCAACATAAAAATAAGAAAATAAATAATAATTCACATTAAAACAATTAATCAACATTATTTATTATTTATTATTTCTTCTTTATTTATTATATTATTCAATTTACCTTCTTTCTTTTCATTTGTGTTTTGAATAATTTATAATTTTTATAACTTGTATTACTTCGAGATGATTTTATTAAAAACAAATACATTAAGATCAAAAACAACAAAGGACAGAGTCATTTATCATTGTGATTTCAAAAGAAATTAATAACAGTAAACAAATATCTTATAACCTTTTTGTTTTATGGGTTGATCAAAAAAAGAGAAAAAGAGAATGAGAAAAGCACTAAAGTATCTATGAATCTATGTTATAAAACCATGAGTGTAGGGGTAAGTGTGGCTGAGTATTCTAAACCGAATTAATACTAAAATCTTATATAAAAATCAATTTATATCTTAAAATTATTCTTCATTATAAAAGGTTTTTAGTTTTTAATATATTTTATTTTTAAAAAATCACTTTTTTAGTATTTAAAGTAAGATTTATTATTTTCATAATTTTTAAATTGTATTGTTTATTGAAAAGAAGTTTCTCAACTTTTTTTGAAGAGTTTATAAAGCTGAAAAGATATTTCTAATATACTTGAAATGAACAATTTATTCCAAACAGAGAAGTTCAAATAAATCTTAATAAAAAAAAATATTGTTCCAAAAAATCAAGAAACAAATTACGTTTCAGAAAATAACCAATCAACCATTTATTACGTCACGTTATTATTTAGAATTGCTTACTAAATAAATGTTCAAAATAAAATTTATTAAGAGCCTTTTCTTAAAATTTGATCTCTATTTATTTTAACATAAAACTACTTAATGAGATTAACCAACCTTGGCATTTTATTGTTAGTCTTTGTTATGACATGCTTTTTTTTAATCATGGAACCAAGGATATTCACCAGGTTAATGACTCAAAACAACAAAAAGATTAAGAAAGATACGTTTATTCAAAAAGATGAATTAGAAAATAAAACAGTAGAAATTAAAGAAGAGGAAGAAGTAGTAGAAACTAAATACATTCCACCTAAATTTACTTTTACTGAAGATGAATTAAAAAACCATCCAAACCAAAATCCTAGATTAGTAAGATCTTCTTATCCTGGAATTAGTAATATTCGACTAAATTATGAAGGTAAATGTGGTGAACTCTTCAAATACCCACCACACACTACAAAAGACATTGTTTTTGGTGCTTTTGAAGAGTATAGTAATAATTCTCCTGACCAAGTAAGCTTCAGAGAAAGAATAGCTAGAACACTTGAAATTACTAGGACAACATTATCAAAAGCCAAGTTTGTTGTATACTATAAAGGAACTATTAGTAAAGCAATGGAAAAATTATTTAATTATTATAAAGTTGAATTAATTAAAGCACCAGCAAAATATGATAAATTTCATATTGCTAATGCAAGATTCTTTTTATTCTATGACTATATGATGAAACACCGTTCAGAGATTGATAGAGTTTTAATGATTGATCTTAAAGACGTTTACGTCTTTGCTGATATTTTTGCAGCAGTAGATCCAAGTCAATGGGTTATGATGAGTGAATGTTTTGATCATAGATTTTGTCTTCATTTAGGAGAAGGACATTGGCATAATGAAAGGTTGAGAGAGTTTTATGGAAATCCACCATTAAGAGAATGGAGAAATTTAAATGTAGTAGAAATTAATAGTGGGTTCCATATTGGAAATGTAAATAAAGCGATTGAATTCTGTGAATATTATATTTCTAACTTTGAAATAAAATATTGCGATAGATGGGCATATGAACAACAAATGACTAATGTAATTATATGGACAAAACCTAATAAACTCAATGCTGTTGTAGTAGACAAATGTGATCAACTTATGTGTTTCCCTGCAGCATTACCAGCAATCTTTTCATTTTCAAATGGAAATTCAATTCGTTATGCTAAAGATGGATGTTCACCAATAGTTCTTCATAAAGGATTACCACCAACGTGGGATAGATTTTATAATTTTGAAAATAAAATAAACTAATTACAAGAATATTGATTAATCGATATAATAATTGATTTGATAATTAAAGAATCATTTCATTTTTTAAAAAGTCAAAAATGAAAGAAAAGAACTAATTTGTTTTATTATTTTCATGTGAAGTAAATATTTGTTCTAAAGTAACACCACTGTGTGAATTTTTCTTTTTATTTGGATTACACACATTTAAAAATCCTTTGTATGTATAACCAACAAATGCAAGATTCTTTGTATCTTGAGGTGATATTTTAGTATCAAAGTTTTCTTCTTCTTCAAAATCTTCAAAATTACTTGTATCAAACATAGAACTTAGTTTGGGAAGATAAGGAGGTATATTTTTCTCAATACAATTAAAATCAAATCCTTTAAAGAATGGATGTGCTTTAACTTCTTCAATAGAACTATATCTTTTATTGACAGGACAAATAAGATGATGAATAAGGTCTTTAACTTCATCACTTAAATCTAATCTTGATGGAAATTTGTAAGATTCTGGATAATTAACAATTTTTAAACATGTTTGTACTGCATCATCACTTAAAAATGGTGGAAATCCACATACCATTTCAAATAAAATACATCCAATACTCCAATAATCACATTCTTTACCATATCCTACTCGTTCAAATACTTCTGGTGCTGTATAATCAGGAGTTCCTACAACAGAATATACTAAATCACGAGAACGATGTTTATAATCATGCATTTGTTTCATAGTAGTTATACCAAGATCTACTTTAATTTGTTCTTTTTGTGCTTTTTCAATAAGACTTTTTAATGTAATAGAAGTATCAATTCTATGAAATCCAGTACAAAGTCCAAAATCTGTTAATTTAATATGACCATCATATCCAATTAATATATTATCTGGTTTAATATCTCTATGAATATAACTCAATTTGTGAATTGAATCTATAGCAAGGAATAATTCTGCAATATAAAATCTTGCCATTTCTTCTGTAAAAATATCTTCTTTAATTAATAATGACATCATATCTCCTCCTCCTAAATATTCCATTACAATATATAAATATTCTTCATCTTGAAATGAGTAATACATTTTAACTACCCAATCATTTGTAAAATGTGTTTGTGCTAATATATCTCTTTCAGCCCTAACATGTTCAATTTGTTTTCTTTCAATCATATCTTTCTTTTTCATTAATTTCATAGCATATACTTCATTTGATCCTTTTCTAACAACAAGTTTAACTTCTCCAAATCCACCTCTTCCAATAACTTTGATAGTTTCAAAATCTTTAGGTGATAATTTTGCTCTCATAAATCTCATATACTCACTTTCCTTTTCATTTAATTCATCTCTTAATTCACTTTTATCTTTTTCACTCAAATTTGAATTCTTTAGGTAATTCTCTAATATTTCTTTTCGATTTCTTCTTTCTTCAAGGTAATGCGTTTGTTGTTCTCTTTGTGCAACAATTTTCATCTTTGCTTCTAAACTAGCATCAAGTGTATGTTGAGAAGGTGTTGTACTCATTTCCTTTTTTCCTTTTTTCAAAGTTCTTTTAATTTTTTTTATTTTTTTAATATTTTTTGTTTTATAATTTTATTTTTTGTTATTATTTTTGTTATTAAAAATTTAATTGTTTTGTTAAACAAATCGGTTGGTTTAATTAATCAAAGAAACTAAGATTTGGCTTAACAATTAATTATTCTTCTTTGGAAGTTGACAGAATGAACAGTACAATAGCCTATACCTTTAGTGATGTCCCTTCTAATAGCAAGACACATTAAACGATTTGCACAAACTTCATGACTTTCTTTGTCAACAGCACTCTCTTTACTCCAAAGCCTTTCTGCAATTGCAGAATATCTCTGGAAAACTCTATCAAAGAAGTTTTGTTCATCAGTACTTTCTCCCCATGAATAACCTTCACATCTTGATATATTTTCCTTTCTGATAAAGAAAGTGATTTAACAGGATCATTGTCATACATTCTCTATTAGTCCATACCCACACTGAATGAACGTTAATACAATTGCAAGAACCAAAACTATTGCACAATGGTATTTGTTTATCTAAATAAAATCCTGCTGAAAAGATTGCTTTATAACCTGAACTAACAACTTGTTGAAGTAATCTAATATCATCCCATACTTGGACAATAGTACTTTTATCACACTTCCTTTTTTAAATACTTCTTCCCATACAACTGGATGTTTACCATTATTAATCACTTGTTCTTGTGCACATTTATTAAAATATCCTTCTAACTCTGTAAGAGAATTGACTCCTTTTGATTTCATGAATTTTTGAATGTCATTACATTCTTTTGATTTTGACCATCCACTTGTCTATACTTTATCACCTCCAACTGGAATGGTGCGACATTTGCAGATGTATCAATTTCTCCATAAACAATAACACCTCTGTTAGCACCGTATTGTGTTAATTCTTTAAGAAAAAGCGAGTAAGAACAAAAATTTGACCACACACTCCTTTTTGATGTTACTATGGATACTTCTTTGATTCAAAGACAAGTGTTTGTGTCACTTAAATGAATATGCAAAACATTTGCTTTAACTGACGTTAAGCGTCAATAATTCTTTTAAATATTAAAAGAGATATAATAGATTTCTTGAAGAACCTACCATTAATCCTCTCAATTTAAGTCTTAGTACATTACTTATTTTAATAGGTAATTGTGAAATTACAAATTTCTTTGATAAAATTTTAATTAATTGAAGCAATATTTCAAATGCATGGCATACATCAATACACTAATTAGTTTAATGGAAATACCATTTGTAGTAACTTCTGAATATAACTTTCATCAATTCCATTTTGTAACTTTGGTATAGGGTCTAAAGAAGACAACTCTACAAAAACATCAGTTACAGCACTTGAAATTGATGGGGGTTATTCTTGGTAAATCCATTTCTTCAAATAATGATACTTTAAAATCTTGTAAACCTGTTTGTTGTTATAAAGGGAATGAAGTAGTAAGATTGAAATTTGATTTAAGGAAGTTCATACGTTCAGTATTGCAAGTTGGTTTTACATTTAATTGAATAGAAGAAGTTAGTGCAATGGTTGATGAGAATTCTATTGAAATATTACTGAGCTTAGATATGGAATTAAAGGCAATTAGTTTTGGAATTTAAACCATTAAGTGCAATGAAAAAGAACAAAACATGTTTTTAAAAAAGTAAGGAATAAAAAAGATGATAGGATCTCATGAAAAACGAAGAAAGAGTAGAGTGTTTTATGATCTTTATTTATTTTTATTCACTATTTTGAATATGAAGAATAAAAAACTGTTAAAAAGTGACTTTCATTTAAATAACAAAGCTATTCCATCACGATAGATGGATGAAATTGGTTATGATTAAAGAATGCATTAACAGCTTTTTTAATTTCATTAACTTTATTCCTGTCTCTTGCATAAACCCGTTTAAATTGAGTTTTATTTTCTGTAGGATAAAGAATTGAAGGAGTTAAGTAAAAAAATTCTTTTGAATCATTACTTTCAATAAATGGAATTTTATTCCAATTATATTCACGAGCTAAAACAATACTTTGATTATCAACAATTATATCTTCAGGTCTTAAATTTGAACCAGCACAACAAATTTGTTCTGAAGTTAAATCATTTAATAAATGTTCATTTTCTTCAGTTTGTGTAATTGTTGAAACAATTTGATAAAAATCACCTCTCTCAACTCTATGAAGAATAGCCTTAGCCTTCTGTAATTCTGGTTTTTCAGTAAACCTAATTTGATCAACTATACCATCATCTAATTGAATAAATTTATCTAAATCATTTGGGTCAGTTTGTAATAATGGAATATAATTATATGATTCAGCCAATAAATCAGTAAACATCAATTCAACAGAAGTAGTATCATTGTTTAAATATACATCGCTATATAAACTATACCTATTAGTAAAAAATGATACAATATCACTTTTAACTTCTTTAAAATAACAAATATTGTTATTTAATATAGCACAATTTTGGATAATTTCTTGAACTTTAAAATGAAGTGGTAAATTAAGATGATGTGAGTCTCTTCTAAGATAATCTAATCTATCTACATCAATACCATTTTCTTCATTACTAATAATTTGTCTTCTCCAAGACTTATCACAATCCCCTTCATTAGTGATAAGTGATTTAACTATTTTAATTTCTTCTTCAGTTAAATCAATTTGGTTTTGGTCAACAATACGATGAAATATTTTAGCAGATTGTTCTTCATGATTAAAATGAATGTTCCTTGTCTTCATTAATCTTTCGTATAAATGACTAAAAGGTCCATGTCCTAAGTCATGGCAGAGCCCAGCAATTTCAATAAGTTTTGCATCTTGTCCAGTAACATAATCATTCTTGTCTACCTCTTCTTTTTGGCATTGTTTTATATTAAGTTCACGAACCATTTTATTTGCTAATTGAGCAACACCTAAAGAATGTTCATATCTCGTATGAGTACCAGATGGAAATATATAGTGTGCAGTTCCTAATTGTTTGATTCTTCTAAGCCTCTGAAACTCTATTGTTTTAGTGATTGTTTCACTATCACATGATAGTTTTTCATTATAAAAGTTCTCTGTTTTAATGTTTGATTGTCTTCTTTTAATTATATTAGGTTTTACCATTTCACATGGACTTCTTTTCTTTGGAGTCGAGATTGTTGTTTGAGACATGGTATTCCTTCTACTTTTTTCTGTATCTTTTTCTTCTTTAAATTTTTTTTAACCTTTTCTTAAAATAAACCCTTTTTGAACAAAAAATATTTGAATAGAAATAAATGGTGTTGAAGAAACTGAATTGCTCACTTCTCAACATAATGAAAACCTAATTATAGGTATTTCATATTTGATTTCTTCTTTTCTTAAAATAAACCCTTTTCTATTTTTATAGACATCATTCTACTATTTAACAAAATAAGTTTCTATATCATAAATCAATTTAATTATTTTTATTCTATTAGGGTCTCATTAAATTTTTTAAATATTTATGAATGATACTTGAAGCTCTATGCGTTAACAATTGGTTTTGGTCCACTAATACAACCCAGTGCATATAAACCCTTAAAATTTGTTTTATAATTTTTGTCTCTTTTAATGTTAGGTATTGGGTTAGTTCTACTCCAGGACAATATCCTGAGTCTACAAATTGTGAAATAGCTTAAATAAACATATCACAATCAATAATAAATTAACTACCTGGAATTGGTATATCCCTTCTAAACATATCAGTTTCTCCTAATTTCATTCTAAAATACTCAACTCCTTTAACCATTCTATTTTCATCTTCAATAATTTTAGTTAGATTACACAGGGTATTATCATAGTAATTGCTTCTTCTATTTCTGATGAAGTAGCTGGTATCTCATATTCTGATCTTCTGTAAACAATAAATACTTCACACCCACGTCTTTTTGCAACTCTAACAACGTCGTAGAAACTCAGCGCCAACTACTGCAACATTCTTTCCAATTGTTTTTCTAGCAAATGTATTAATTGATTTAAGGTATGGAATAATATATCCTACACCAATAAGAGGTTCTCCTGGAATGGAATATCAAGTACCTTTTTCTTTAATATCTAATTCCTACAAACACTGCACCATATTCACTTAAGAAAGAAGGAACATTCTCTGCTTTAGCATTTGTTCTAAGTTCAATCCCTAGTTTTTTGATTCTGTCAGTACTCTCATCTAATTTATCTCTTGGAAGTTTATATGGTAGAATACATAAATTATCATTCTTCCTAATTTGTGTTTTTGTTCATAAGCAACAATTTTATGCCTTTTTTGTCTTAAGAAATATGCAGTAGCTAATCCAGCTGTCAGATCCAACAACGGCAACTTTTTTATCAGTGTCTGTGCAATATCTAATACCTTCTTCATTACATAAATAATCACTAATTTTTTCAACTTCATTATTTGAAGTTCTCCTCATTTATTTACTTTGACACAAGTCTTTTCACAATAATGTGGGTAAACTCTTTCACATATATAGTATTGAATCCTTTAATGTGGTATTGCTTTGTTAAATTCTTCTTTAAATAAACAAAAAATTCTGGAACACCAATAGAGCTGGACATCTTAGTACACGCCTTGGTCTTTTATATCTAAGACGTCTTGGTGCTTCTTCTATTGTTTCTTTTTTAGAGTAACCAACAACTACCTCCTTCGAATCACTAATTCTTTCTTTGAGATTTCTTTTCAGGACATATGTATCTTGAAATTTTTTATTTAATTGAATTGATGAGTGACAATTCCTGATAGTTATATGTTTAGAAATGAAGTGAAGAAGATAATTTTATGTATCAATACAAAATGTTTAAGTAATATTCAGGAATTATTGTGTAACTTTTTTGTATTTACATATCAATTTAAAGGTTATTATAATTAACCTAAGCTACAAAATGTTTTGTATTCTTGTCTCAATGGAATCAGTTCAATCTATCAGTTAAAAAATGAACGTATTTATTGACCAACTAATTAAAAGAGATAAGACAATCTACTTTTATCCATTGAATCTTTTGGTAAAACAATATTTTCTTTAACTGTTTCATAAAACAGACTTTAAACTATGTTCTTATTAACACTTTAAATTCTGTCATAAATACTAAATTTTTCACTTCAACTCTCTGGAAATGAGTTTAATATTTTTTTTTTAACTTATATCAGATAAAAAGAAATATTCCTAAAATATAAAAAACAATTAATTATTTTTTAATAGAATTTGTATCTATTATTCCTGCCACACCGGAGAATAATCCCATCAATGAGTCTTCTTCTAGTAGTTCAACAGGATCTCCACAATATTCCATAACGTCCATCATGTTTTTAATTACAAGGTTTTTAATTTCTTTTATGATGTCAATTTCATTTTTTAATTCTTTAATTAATTTAATAATTTCAATATTTACGAATTAATTTATTGAAATTATTATGGAATTATTTTGATATCTTTTAATTTCTCTATTTTAATTATCATATTATTCATTTCATTATACTTATTTCTTTTATTCAAATATGCTCCATTAATATTGTGATATGCTACAATATTCATATCAAATATTAGACCAGTTTTATTCTTTTTATTTATACTATTTGTCTGTTATTTTATGATATTGTTAATCATTTTTTTGTTTGTTCAATATAATATTGTGTTATTATATTTGAACACTGTTTCATATGTTTATTTCTTTGTATTGACTATTTTATTTATATTTTCTTATTATCGAATATGATAATGCCAATATTGTTAAGTTTCTCATATTGTGATTTTTTATGACCAACGCAAGAATTGTTAATATCTTGTATTTACAAAATGTGGAGTATTTTAATCATTTTTTTTTTTTTTTAATATTTTATCTTTTCTATACACACTGAATATTGCTCCATCTTGTATTTTAGTTCAATGGAGAAACGAATTCTTTTTAATATTGATGGACTTCAATGAATTGATTGTAGTAGTTTTATCTATAAATTTTGTTTCAATCAATCTTCTAAAATATCAATTTATTTAATTTCAATTTATTAATGTATTTATTTATCATTATTTTATTTTTATTATTATTCTTTTTATTTTTAATCATTTATTTTATTATTATTCTATTTCTTTGATTTTATGATTTATTATTTTTTAATTATATTCATTATTCATTTATTTGAATATCATCTATCTAATATATTATTTATTATTTCATTCTTATACAATAATATATTATTGTTCTAATTATTTCATTAATTTATTCATCATTCATGTTTATTATTCATTATTTCGTTTATATTGATATAAGGACTGTCTTTGAAA